CAGAGACTTTATGCTCTGCAGCTGCTCTGGGGAGGCGCGCAAAAAACAAGACTCTGTGAGCTTCCACTCTCACCCACCTTCGCGTAGAGGGCAAACAACTCATCGTTTGTGTACAGCAACGAGCTAAAAAGGGCTTCGCCTGCATCATCCGCAGATATTGGCCCAACGTCGTGGGTCCGGGCACCGTCGGAGAGCCACAGGTGGATTACTCTGCGGAACGTGCCTCTTCCGCCGTTGTCTCCTGGTGCGGTACGACTGGACGACATCTGCGTAAACAGCAGCACACGCTTGTCCGCAACGGTTGCAGTCGTGAGCTCCACCGGGCCGTAGAGCATCGGTAGTACACCCGATTGGCTCAACAGGCGTGCGAAGGACCCGGCAGCCTCTTTCCACGTCTTCCCCTTGTCGCTGGATTCGTACACCCGGCGCTGCCACGAAGGAGATACTGAAGTGGCCATGAAAACTTTCCCCGCCCACTCAAGAAGCGTGACACTGTCGCAGTCCTTTGGACGCACAGGCGCCGCAGGAAAGTTCCAGCTGCTCCCATTGTCGTCGGAGTACATGACGGTGCAGGCCCTTATTTCCTCTTCGGCATCAACGGGGTCTCCGGTAGCCACAAGAGGGAAGAGAATCGTGTTGCCTCCAACCACAACGCCTCTGGCGCCCGGAGCGGGTTCCACCTCCTCCCACGAGTTCTTCTGCATCTGTGCGTCAAGCGTTGTCTTCAACGATTGGGGATTCTCCCACGTGACTTGTTGCGTCGCCTCGGCCGTCCCAGCGCTACCAACAATCAGCGCAAGTCCCCTGTCAGCTCCACTTTGTGAAGAAGCTCCCGTCGAGGAGACGCTGGACACCAAAAGAAATATTTTATTGTCCTTCACCAGAGCCTTGGGGCCGAACGGCGGGGCATGTGGGTCCTCTTCCTTCAATTCTTTGCTCACAAGCTGCTGCGTCCCCCACTGCTGGACTTGCTCCGCGACGCCCTGTCCCACGTTGCGCCCTGTTCCGTACGTCTTGTATTTCGCCCAAATGCCAGCATCCGCGTCACCATTGCCGCTGCTGCCGGTATATTTACCGACGGCAAGAGCAACCAGCACACCCTTCACGTCAACAAGGGAGTGACCGAAGTATGAAGAAACGGTTAAAGATGTGGTTGTATCTGTCTGTCCTGAAGCAGCCGTCGACTGTACTGTCCCCGGTGTGAAGAGTTCAACCTTGTTTGACGTGCTCTCACCGGGGGTGCTGGCAGCCTCACCGCTGCCGCAGCACATCAACACGAGCAGCAGCACCGCAGAAGAAAACGGGTGCTGGGGCATGTTTGGCCTCTCTCTCTTTCTTACTTCCTTGCGGCGGATCCGTTCAGTCAGCGGCGGTTGAGTGTGTTATGTGTTGATAACTGCAGAGCCTTCAGTGCGCACAGTAGTAAGTAGTGGTTGGTCTATTTCCTCCGTTTGCGTGTAGAAACGAGGGGCAGTGTTAGAAAAAAAAAGCAACAGAAGGCAAAACAATGGGTACCGCCTGCAACCACAGTGGAGAGCACAACACATCATCATCATATTCATTGTTCCCATGGGGTGAAGTAAGGCTTGTAGCACAATCCGCAGGCACAAGAAGCTTAGCGTATGAACCGCAACGACAGCTGACGGCGTAGAGGTCGTTATAGGCCGTCAACTGCGGTTCTTAATCGCTCTAGTGCAATTGCAGAGGATAGCGCCCCGTTGAGCCCGCGTTGCACCTCCCTCGCAAGGCGGTCGGGATGCACAACGTAGACGATGCGGCTCGCACGACTTACAATGTCGCACGGGAACGAGGCCCCCTCCTCTGGGACGACCAGCATGATCCCGCGGTGGCCCTCGTGCGCGGCGCGCCTCACAGCCGCACGCACGGAGGCGAAGTCGTCCAGGTACACCTCCGCCCCCCGCAGATGCGAGGCACGGCACCGCATCATTGGGTGCCCCTGAGTCAACCGGTGGGTGCCCTGAAACCAGGCCTGGAAGAACGGCTTGTCGGGCCGAATAAAGGTGGCCCCATCGTCGTGCGGGTCCTCGTACATCTTGAGGTAGGGGTAGTACTGGTAGAGCAGCCAAACGGTGTACCCGGCAAGCGAACGCTGACACTCCACATCGTCAATCGCCGCGTGAAATTTCGTCTGCAGCAAATGCTGCGTGCCGACCGCTCCGCGCCTGCTGAATTTGCGTCGATGCAGCACAATCATTTGCTCGCAATTAAACGCATTCGCGTTGCGCATTATCGCACCAATGTTTCGGTCACCAAACTCATTGTACACCATGACGGAGAGCTGCATGGCATAGGAGCTGCGCCTCGCCCTGAGCATGGCCGCAATTTCCTCATTGGAGAGCGAGAGGAGGTTCTTTTCGTGTGGAAGGTCCTTCCGCTGCTCCCCGTTAGCGGCATCGTGGCTTAGCGGCATATGGCCCCGCAAGGCAACGGAAAGAGGTTCGTTTCCATCGCCCATGCGACTGTCGCCGTGGGCGCTGGCCGCGGAATGCACAGCTATCGCCATGGCGGACATCATCGACAACGACCCAATCGACCCGTACTGCGGGATATACAGGCAGTGGTCACACTCTGCAACGACGCCCGCGGACAACCCATTTTCCATCCCAAGCACAATCTCCACGCCGCCGTCCGTCGCTTCGTCCTGCGTGCCGCCTTTGCCCGCCGCGGAGGAAACGGTTCGCCACGGAAAGCTCTGCAGCGGCCGTGCGGCCGGATGGCAGGGGGTGAGGGCAACTTTGGGACTCCGGCGCGACAGCCTCGCCCCGACGTCGGCGTGCATGTAGAACAGACGGTTTCCGCCGTACATGATATCCATTGAGGGGGTGGTGTTCACCAGCGGGCTCAGAATCTTTGGGTGTCCGGTGCCAAAAAACATCGCAAGACGCAGAAGACACCACGCGTTGTACGCAAATTTGATGTCCTCCACCGTCAGTCTTGCGACGCCGAGCAGCGGCAAGAAGGCCTTTTGCTGCGGCCACCTAATGTTGTACGCCCATGCATCAAAGTCCCGGCTGCACGGCCCACGGGCCGACCGGTGCATGGGGTCGGTGGACTTGCCCGCAGTGTGGGCCCGCCCGTGCCTGTGGACGCGCCAGGCAACAGCGAGAGAGGGAAAACAACAAGAAAAAAAAAAAAAAAACAGAAAATACACAACGTTGGTGACGAAGAACAACTCGAACAGCCCCTTCACAGAAGGGCGAAATAATAGCCGCCGTCACGCCCCCGTGTCTTTGCCGCTGCGGGGATTCTCTTTTGAGTGGTTGTGCGCGGATGCAGGTGGAGTGCCAACGCCGCATACCCTCGCGCCTCTAGCCGCGGGACCTCGCACGACGTCGTCCGCGCAGGAATTCCTGAAGCAGCACCCGCGATGGGTCGTCGTACGGCACCTCTTGTGAAACCAGAAGGCGACGGGAGCGAGCAGGCGTCGCCAGACGCACGTCGACGGCGCACGCTCCCTCACCACCGTCGGAGACCGGCAAGCGCAGGATGGGCGCTCGCTCCATCGCCGCCTCTGTCGCGGCAGAGGCTGGCGCCGTGGCACGCAGGGAATCGACAAACTGGGAGTGGTTGCGCGAGGCGGCGAAGCGGCGCAGCCGCGCCACCGCCTCCACGTAACCTGGCGGCACGTACTGCGAGGGTCCAAGCGGGTCCCGTCGCTCCACGTGGGGCGTGGGCGCCGCAGCCCCCAGTTGCTCCACAGAGGCCGCCTCAGGGGCCAACTTTGCTGCGTATGACTTCGTAGGCTTGTTCCAATTTTGGCCCGCCGAGGACGGGTGCCCGGCAACCCGCGCCGTCGAGGGCGACTGAACCTCAGACGCCGCCCTCGCCGTGGCTGGCGCCGTCACTCCCCCTCGCGTCTCCGCCGCGGCTGCCGTCGACATCGGCGGCGACGCTCCCGCCCGCCTCCGCCGCCTGTCGGCGTCTTCTATGAGCCGGCGGAAAACCTCCCCGGTTGGCGCCTTGGGCGAGGGTGTGCGTCCGCGTCTGGGAAGCTTCTCCACCCCCGCCTGCCCCCGCCGAAGCGGCATGGAAGTGGGGCGGGAGCGTCGCACGCTCGACAGGGTCGGCGACGCAAAACGCGCGTCACGGCGTGGTGTGCTGAGACGCCGCCTCTCCGGGTCGTGTGTCTGCCTCGACGCCTGCTGCTGCTGCTGCTGCTGCTGCTGCTGCTGCTGTTGCGGGGGCCGTGTGTGCGGCGGATCGGGCTCAGGCAGCTGCGGCGTCAAGGCGCTTACTTCCCCACACGAGTGCGTGCTCGGGGTTCTCGCGGGAAACTCCACATGGTCGCCGCGCAGGTGGTCATGAATGCACCGCGCCGCCCACGGCATGTCGTCCACGACGGACGCCGGCTGGCCTCGCACCATGTCGTACCAGCAGTCGTCGAGGCGCTCCAGGTCCCAGGCGCAGCCGAGCCGCTGCAGCAGCGGCCGCAGGTCACAGTACCTTAGCGCCCCGGTGAAGCCACCGTTTTCGCGTGCGTTGGCGATCACCTCGACCGTTCGCGCCACGAACGCCCCCACGGAGGCCGGTTCCGCCCGTAGGGAGGGCGAACTCGAGAGTGAGGAGGGACTTCCCCCGCCGCCGTCGCCCAGATTCCGCATGTGGCAGTGCCCTCGCTTCACCCGCTGCTGCGGCCCCCCGCTTCGAGGGAGCGGCACGCCCGTCAACGCGGACGAGGCCACCGGTGACGGTTGCAAAAGAAATGAAAAAAAAAAAAAGTAGGAAAGTGGTGTGTTTTCTGTGGGGCGAGGCGAAGTAGCAAAAACAGCAAAACAACAAATATGCGCATATCTGCCACGCATGCGTCTCACGCGATGTTTCCCATTTACTGTTGTTGTTTTTTTTTTGTTTCTCTTGTGTTGCGTTACTTACTTTTTCCTTTTCCGCCTCCTCCCACTTCCTTCTCTGCCCTGCTGGCGCCACCTCAGCTGGTGGTAAACGCAGGACGAAGGCGGCGACGCGAGTACGTCGCAAATAACCGGTGGATCTCCGCCACCACCAACCAGGCATCCACGATGCGCTTTGTCTCCGTCCAGCACATGTCCGGCCGTAGTTGGTAGTCCTCCTGCACACACACGCGTGACTTAAAGAGGTAGTAGTCCCATGGCACCTCCCCGCCGAGGCAGGTCTCTGCGTTCGGGGTTGTAATCCATGGCTGCAGCCACTCCTCGACGTCCGCGATGGACTCCTTCTTCTGCTGCTCCCTGCCCGCGCCGCCCGCCAGGGAGGCGAATTCGTTGTAGAAGTGCAGGGCTTTGCTGCTGAGGTACGTGGCCGCCGTCCCGTCAAAGTTGAGCAGCAGAAAAAGCAGATTGTTCCACTCCTCGTCGTCGAGGAAGGCCACCAGGCGTTCGCACTCGGTCTGTATTCGCGTCACGACGGACTGCTGGAGAAAAACCTGCGTCCCTGCCCCCTCCGCGTCTGTGAGGGTGGGGGCCGTGGAGACCGCGGCGACGACGCTCTTCATCAGGCCAGGCGTAAACTCCAGCTCCGCCACGCTCAAGTACGTGGCCCGCTCCTCGTAGACCAGGCACGCGGCGGCGCAGTGGCCATCCCCGCCAGGCGCCGCCCCCGCCGCCACGCTGACGCCAAAAAACTTGTGGCGCGGCGGGGTTCCCGCCACCCCGAGGAAGACGCCAAGTGGACTTCCGCAGCAGCCCAGGTAGCGGTTGATGATGTCCTCCTTGCTGCAGTGGGAGCCGTCGCCGCTCCCCTCCCCGCTGTGCTGCCGCTTCCAGCTCCCCGTGTAGCACTGCCACACCTGCGCACAACGCATCGCAAAGAGTGCCACGCTGGCGACAAGCAGAATGTACAGCTTTTCTCTTCTGTACGCGAAGGTGCCGATTGCTAGCGTCTCGTTCCAGTGCTGCAGCAACGCGTCTAGCGTCGCAATGCGCTTCCCGTCGTGGCAGAAGAGATACTCGTAGATGGGTGGGTTGACCGTCAGGTAAGCCCGACATCGGATCTGGAGACAACGCTCCTGGCCAAACCCTCGCAGCTTCCTGTCAACAATGCGCGCCACGCTCGCTATGGGAAGGTCATTGTGCTTGCACTCTTTTTCCATGTACAGTTCAACTAATCCGGGGGTCGCGGCATCCTCAATGGCGCGCTTCAGCCGTTCGGCGTGTTCGAACGGCACCACGTCGTCAAGGGCCCCATGCTGAATAAGCACTGGGCAAGGAACCTGCCCAATGACGTCGATGGTGCGAAACCAGTCGTAGCCCAGAAAACTCACAATGGAACCGACGTTCCGCGTAACCTCGTTGGCGCACTCCTTCAGTGAGGTGAACGGGGACTGCAGCACGAGCAACGCGGGGGCCTCGCCCTCCGCCCGCAGCGCAGCGCACAACTGTGCGGCAGGGCCGGTCCCAATGGAGCGACCCATGAGAACAATTCGGCTGGGCGGAACGCGCAGTTGGCGGACGACGTAGCAGTACGCGGAAAGCATGTCCTCCTTCATCGAGGTTTCCGTCGTGTCGCCGTGCGAGATGCCGTACCCGGTGTACTCGAAGAGCAGCACCGAGGCGGAGGCCCGCTTACTAAAGTACGAGAGCTCGTCAACCATCATCGCCATGTCGACGGCGTTCGTGTGGGCGTAAATGACGATGTACTTCGCGGTCGGGTCAAGCAGCAGCAGCCCGTAGGTGAAGCTGCCATTCTCCTTCCGCGTTCGCCAGTCAACCCGCGGGACGTGCAGCAGCTTGCCGAGGTGGTCGCTTGTGTCGTAGCTCGGGCTGGGCTTCGGCAGAATGATGGACTTCACGATGGAGCCGAAGAAGGACGACATGCCTCTCCCCTCCGGCCGGTGGTGAGGAAGAGGGCGGCAGCAAACGGAGAGAAGAAGAGACAAGAAGAAAAAAAAAAAACAGCGTCGCGGGAGCACACGCAAGCAGGCAGGCCACGCAGCTGCGTGGGGAAAAAAGGAGGGAGTACGGAGGCAGGTGGAACAAAAAACGCGTGTACACCGCGCCCCAGCCACTCGCGGCAGCGGCCTTTTGACGTCGCCCCTCAGTTTGAACTCCATCACAAAAGCACGCACGCATACGCACGACTCGCCCTGCGGGACGCGCGAGAGACGAGCCAAGAGAAAGAGGGAGGCGCGCCTCAAAATACGTCCCGGGCGACGGGCTCGATACCGAGGCGAAAGTCCTTGTAAGTGACGGGGCAAATGTGCTCGTCCTCCATGCACGCCTGGTGCACCACGACACCGTTTGGAAACCGCGCAAAGACGACGTCCGGGCGCAGCTTCTTCCCGCACGCGACGCAGCAGCTGCCGAGGTCCAGCACAACCTGCCGCGCACGCTCACGCGCAAGTTTTAGCTCGGCCTGCCGTATACGGGCCTCGAGAACGCTGGCGCGGATGGCGGCGTTGCGGCTCCGTGTTGAGGCGTCGCGGAGAGAGCGCTTGACAAACGCCGCAATTGGGGCGAGCGGCGTGTCGGCCGGCAGCATTGGCAGCGCCGTCAATGGGTTCACCTCGTCGCAGGTGTTGACCACGGCGAGGGCGTCACTCAGCCACGGCGCGCCGCACTCGTCCCCCGGGCTGAGCAGCAGGCGCAGAAGAATCTGAAAGGCGTCCTCTCCATCGCGGCCCACGCGAGTCGCGTAGTCCTGCGCCGCCCGCAGCTGTCCGCGCCTCGTACAGAAACATGCGGATGGCCTCCTCGTGCAACGTGAGCCGACGGTAAATGATGGCGCGCTCCGCATACATTTGCCCCCGCGCCTCCGGCTGCTCCAAAACAGTCTGCGCCCTTGCGAGGTCTATGTGGTGCGAGGACCGCAGGAAGTTTTCCAGACGCTGGCGCCCTGTTGCCCTCCGCTGCTGCTGCTCCTTCTCCTCCTCCTCCCGCTCCGCCACCGACTCACCCGCCGCGCACAACGGTGACAACACAAGCCGCACCAGGCTTTGGAAGTACGCGTCGTGCAGTGAGGCGTCTGTGCACAAGTTGCAGGTGTCCGCAAAGACCAAAGAAAGCCACTCAGCAACACGCTCATGCGGCTGCGTCCTGCCAATGCCGCGCATGTCACTGCCGAGGAGACGCAGCACGGCGGCGTAGTCCTTCGGCTGGATGTCCGCGGCGGTAAACATCCGGACCGACCACCGCGGCGGGACATTGGCAAGAATCCACGGCGAATATTCCTCGACCAACGCCATGCTCTCCCGCTCCCCCCACGAGAGCAACCGCACGTACAGCAGCGTCCCCACCACGCCCACGCAGCGCCGCAGCAGGTGCGTTTGCTGCGACTGCTCCACCTCCACGGCAACCTCGGCAAGAAGCCGCGCCAGAACAGTTTGCGGCATAAAATCCGCGTGGCCACCCTCAGAGGCAGCGGCAAGCAGGCCGCCAACTCCCCCAAAGGCCTTGTCCAGCAGCGGCTGAAGAAGCCGCGCGAACGCCGCGTTAAAGGGAAGCCCAACGCGCGAAGACGACGTCGTTACGAGGGAGTCCAGCCGGATGCGTTCCCCTGTCGTGCCGAGTGCGTAGAGCAGCGCCAAACTTTTGCGGTGTTGCCCGTGGCGGCACCAGAGCGCGACCAGCGCCACCCATTGCTCCCTGTCCGCCAGAAACGCCTCCGACTCGGCGAGCGAGCATGCGTTGTCTTCGGCCAGAAATGCAAGCAGCTGCGGTTCGTGCCCAACGACAACGTATGCCTTCAGAATGGCGGTGTCAATGGCCTCGGCAAGCACTTCGGCCTCCGCCGTCGCGTACTCCCGGCGCAGCGGCACCGCATAGTCGAGAAAAGCCGCGGCGGCATCTGGCAACTGCTGGGCGAGGTCTGTCGCGTGCGTCTGCGGCGGCTGCCATGTCGCCCGCGCGCGTTGCGTGAGAAAGCCCGGGAAGAGGTCGATAACGAGGCGTGGGTCGACGTTGGCGTCGCGAAAGCGCAGCATAGCCGTTCTGAAGTCCTTTTGCGCATTGAAGCTCCACAGCGCAAACTGCCTCTTGAGGCTGCGCACCGTTGTCTGATCCACCTCGTTGGCGCACAGCTGGCAGAGCAGCAGACCCGCCTCGACGGCGTCCACGGAGGAGAGTGCGAGGGCCTGCTCCCTAATAGGCACGAGCTCGAGCAGGTGCACCGTGTTGTTACTGGTAAGCACAATCGTGATGTCCTTGCGCAACGCGTCGGGGGGCGCGGCCTCCTTTGGCAGGCTGACGTCAAAGTCGGCAAAGGGGCGCTGCGAGATGCGGTCGGCGCACTTGAGGCTGATGCTCTGCCACAGCGTGGGGTTTGCCGCCTCCGCGCTGCCGGTAAAGAACGGCAGTCGCACTTCAATGCAGTTGCCACTGTCATGCACGGTGAGGAGAAAGGGGTGAACGTACGCCGCACTGGTGGGGATCGACGGCCACGGTATGCCGTTCTTTTTTTCCGGCACGAGACTGCCGTCATGCAGCGCACGCACGCCGGTGTTTTCCTCGCCCACCAGCACCTCCGGCACCGGGTCAAGCGAGAGGAGCAGCGGGATGCCGCTCTTGCCGGTGGGGTACAGGCAGTCCGTGGCACCGCTCGGGACGTGCATGAGGACGTACTCCCGGCGGAACCCAATCAGGAGATTCTTCCCCACCCAAACAAGCGTCTTGGCCCCGTCTGGCAGTAGCAGACCATCGTTCATAATCACGAACTCCCTCAGCTGCTCCCTGTAGGCGTAGACGGTGATCTTTTTGCGCTGCAGCACCGCCAAGTAGAAGGTGCCCCGTTGCCGCTTCAGGTGCAGTGCGACGATGTCCTTGGTTCCCCTGACCGCACTCAGCTCGGGCAGGCGGTCCTCCGGGAGGCGGTCTAGCTGGGCGGAGGTCATGCGATTCAGCTGGTGCACCGCAATCACGTCACCCGCCACCAGGAGCAGAACATCCCGCTCCACAATGGGGAGAATCATGCGGATGGGCTGCTTGTGTTTCGAGGAGTGGATGTAGACGCACTGGGCGTCATGTTCCTGGAGAGAGACCTCGTACACGATCAGTTTGCCGTCGCTCGTGCCCAAAAAGAAGAGGTTGCGGGCGGTGGCGATGCTCTCAATTTTGTACGGCAGCTTCTGCTTCAGCTCCGTGAGACGAAACACCTCATGCGACATGACGGAAACTAACGCTGGACGACTGAAATGGAGTTTCACACGCCGCGTGCGTGGGCGCTTCCGCACAACTGCTACGACCCCTCGCCTTTGCGATTGGGCGTGTGCCTTTTTCTTCTTTTTTTTTCTGGGGGGGGGATTTTATTTGTGTCCTTCGTTTCTTCTGCTGGCGCGTGGCGGAAGGCGCACCACCGCACGAGGAGGCGAAAAACCGAAGAAGAAGAAAAAAGGCTGCCGTGTCGGGCGCACGCAACGGGTGGGACGGCGGCGTTGTGGATGCAGTCGCCCCTATTTTTGCAGTTGTTGTTGTTTTTTTTTTCTTTTGCTGCCGCTTCGCTTCGCGTGCGCGGACGGCGCCTCTCAGCCCCCCGCCCCCGCCTGCGTCGCTGCGCGGGGGCCGCCCGCAGAAAAGCACGCAAACGCACAGAGAGAGAGGCGGGGGACGGCGGCTACACCTGCCACAGTTCCACGAGCGGGTTCCACTCGTCCACGACGGAGAGGCGCTCGCCGTCGAAGAAAACTGTGGCGCTCGGGAAGGGCGCGCCCCCGTTGCCGCCCTCGCCGAGCCGGCGGACGTGCAGCTGCGTGGAGGGGCCAGCCACCGCCGCGGACTCCAGCGCCATCTTCTCCCGCGCAGCCGCAGTCAGCGGCGAGTGGGAGCTCAAGAAGAGACCAAAGTCGGCCGCAAGCTCACGCATCGCGCTGTTGTGGCTCTCGCTGCGCGCCTCCCCCAACAGCGCCTCGAGGCGGCGCAGCATGACGGCGCAGCAGTCGGGGCTCGCCAACGGGGGGCCCAGGCCGAGGTCGATGATGTGCACGTCGCCCAGAGCGTAGCACCGCGCCGCCGCCGCCGCCGCCTCGCCGCCCACCTCGCGGAGGGAGACATGGAAGGTGAGGCACCCGATGGAGTCCTGCAGGTGCATCACCTCCACAGCCAAATGAAAGTGGTCCAGAAACCGCTGCAGGGCGCCCACCTCCACCGTCGCGTCGGGAGCGGCAAAGTGAACTGCGGTCGCCTGGGACTGCTGCAGCGCGGCCGCGCGCAGCAACGCCACGGCCTCCTCGTCCGAGGCGGTGAAGGGCACCATGACGTCCAGGGCGGTGTGTGTGGGCGACTCCACCAGAAATCCGCCTTCCACCGCGCGTTGCAGCGGCACATCCTCCACACGTTGGACGAAAATGGGCGCCATGGCCGTCATTTCATTCAACAAAATAATCGACGTCGCCGCCTCGACGTACGTAATTTCCGCATCCATCGTAAGCGGCTGCAGGCGCAGCCTGGCGACACTCTTTTCCGTGTCCTGCAGCAGTGGCGGCCACGCCACGAGACGCGCCCCCACGGGCAGCAGCAGTGAGGGCGGTCCAGTGCCCATTTTGTTGTAGAGGTACAACGTCATCCACGGCGACGGCATGAGACTCACCGTGCTTCCGTACACCCCATTGAGTGCGACATCAATGAGTGGGGCATACGATATGGGGGAGGTCACGAAATACGCCCAGTAATTTCTTCCCAAGACGGAGTACCGCGTAGTGGGCTCCAGCTCATTCATGGACTCCACCTTCAGCATATCCACGCCGGACTCCTTATCCGGCCCCGCCACACGCCGCAGCGCCTTGAGCACCTCGCGGAGACTCAGCACACTGTGAATGTACTTCACCGCCTCGCCCCCAAGGTCGTCCTCCGGCTTGAGATCCACCTGCTCCAGTTTCTCGATGAAGCTCCCAACCATCTCCTCTGACAGCTTTCCCACCTCAAAGAGCGTCACGGCGTGTTGCTTAAAGGTGGGGTCGGCGCTCAGGTTAGTCATCATAAGAAACCCAGTGAGACTGGCGTCGTACAGGAGGGCTATGCGCCTCGGTGGATGGCTCCTGCTGCTGGCGCCCGCGTCCCCGCTTGCGCCTCCCCCCGCCGCCTCTGATGCCTCGGCGGTCAGCGACGACAGCGACGCGGCGCCCGCACCGGAGACGGCGGAGGCCACTGACAGGCGCTCTTGCACAACACCGCGCCACGTTTCATGCACGCCCTCCATGGAGTCTAAAATCTCCTCTGGAATGTGCACCGTCTTCAGCTGCGCAAGACCGAGGCGAATGTACACCTCGGCCGCCGCGCAGACGTCCGCCTCGTCAAGCATCAGCAGCTGCGCGAGGAGGCTCAGCGAGGTGCGATTGTCGGCTGTGGCGAGCACCTTGTACAGCAGCACTTCCGTTGGGTCGTCGGAGGTGCGATTCATCACAAAGCGCTCCAGCGGCGGCACCACAATTTGATCCTCCGGCGCCACCGAGAAGGTGGCGCAGACAAAGCCCCTGCGGTACAGTGCGTGGATGGCGCCGCGGGGAAACTCACAGGCGAAGCGGCAGCCCCCACTGCTGCTGCCACGATTACCGCCGTCCTTCTTGTCCACCTGAAGTTTGAGGAGGTAACGGTGCAACGCGGACTCCTCGTTGCTCAGCGCGGCCTTCTTGACCGCCTCCGCCGGCACCTCCACGGCAAAGACGCTCCAAAACGGTGGAAGCGTCACCGACGGGAGCAGCGTGGAGGGCAGGTGACTCCGCACAAACTGCCGGTTGATGTGCCAGCGGAGTTTGCTTCGCACCTCCTTCGTCAGCTCAAGGTACTGGTTCCGCCCTATCCCAAGACTGTTAAGCACATCCACCGCGGTGAAGTTGGGCAGCGTGTCGTAGCTGCGCTCCGACTTCAGCAGCTCCGCAATCATTGTGGTGTAGTAGCTGAGCGGCGTCTCGCGCGTGTAGTGAGTGACTTTGCGTATGTGCACGTACGGGTAAAGCTGCAGGTTTTCCTGCAGGTGGGCCACGAGGACCTCGTAGTAGCTCTGCTCCGTCATGCCGGCACGCAGGAAGTCGGGGAGGCGCTGATAGCTGCGGTACCGCATCGCGGCGAAGTGCACGCTGTGCTGCCTGTACGCCTGCAGCGACACCCGCTGCCGCAGCGGCCCACTCAGAAGCTCATACGGCTGGCAGCACTCCAGCGCCTCCTGCAGATCCCTCGCGTGGTGTTGGCCACCCATCCCACTAGCAAACCCTGCAGGCAACGCGGAAGCGAGAGACGCACGGCCATGCGTGGCATCGGCAATGGCACCAGAAAAAGACGGGAAGACAAAAATAATAATAATAATAACAGCAATAACAGTACAAAGGCGCACCTCAAAAAAAGTTCTTCCTCCGCCGCAGAAACCAGACGCAGGCACACGCACACGCATACACATCATCTTCACCGTTGCCACACCTAAACACCACCGCCGCCGCCCTCCTGCCCCCAGAGTAGGCAGGGAGGCAATGCGGGTTTACGGGGCGCAGTGTATGGCATAGGAAAGCTCTAGCCACTGCCCCAGCGCCTCCACACGCTCGGGCCGTTTGTCGTGCTCCCACATACAAAAGCTGTCCGCGGTGGCGGTGACGCGGACATCCGCAGCCGCCGCCTCCAGCTGCGCCAGCGGCGGCGGCGAGGAGGCCAGACGCCCAGCAGCCTCTGTCGCCTGCGGCTGCTGCTGCGGCCGCGGAACAAAGCTCGTGCACGCAAGAACGTACGACGGCGGCAAAACGACTTCTCGGCCAATGAGTGTGCGGCCGCGCAGCCGATTGCGCAGCTCCCCGCCCTCCGTGCGCACAATGTGCCGCGAGAAGTTCTCCACAACGTCGGTCGTGCCACGGAACGTCGTCTTGATGGGCAGAGAATGCACCGCCCACGGGCAGCCCGGCTGCGCCTGCTGGTCGCCCCCCGTCCGCATCCGCCCCGCACAATCCGCGCTAGAAACCACGTCGACGCAAAGAAGAGCAAAAAAAAAAAAACAGCACACGCATGGAAAAGAAAAACAAAAGCAAAACAAAACAGATATCGGCGCCAATACGGACAGCCAAGGGTCCGCTGTGAGGGGGACGCCCGAAGCCGAAAGGGGAAAGAGGAGGAGGAAATAGGCGCGCATGTGTGTTAGAAGAAGAAAAAAAAAACAAATAAACAAACAAACGAACGGCGCCCACGCCGCGGCGTAGTGGGGGGCTCAGCAGACGACATCGTACAGCGTGGCAAATTTTGTTAGCAGCGGCCGCAGCGGAAGCATCGACCCGTCACTCCCATCATCCTTGCCGCCGCCGCCGTCGTCGTCCGTGCAACAGCGCAGCGCGTTCTGCAGCTTCAGCCGCTTCACCGGGTGGGCGCCAGGCACAATGGCCTCCCACAGCACCAACTCCATCAGACAACTTCGCAGACAGGCGTGCGTGTCGCCTAGCACCGCGTACACAAAGCTTAGCGCATTACGCAGCTCATGGCATAGGTAGTGAAACGGAAACAGGTGCTGGCAACAGTCCCGCAGCAGCCGGAGCAGCGCATCGCGATCCGCCGCGTCCACCTCGCCCACGTGCTTGGCACGCACGCGGCTGCAGAGAAACTGCACGGAGGAAATGTACTCGCGTTCTTTTTCGCGGCTGCCCGGGCGGAGCGTCGCCGCCAACGCCGCTTCGAACGGGTCGCGGTCCCCCTCAGTGCAGCGCACACATCGGCAGTCAAAGAAGTACCGCTCGGCGAGCTCCTCACGCCGCAGCCACGACGGCCAGTAGAGCTGCGGCAGGTAGGCGATGGTGAGCTCCTCGCCCGGGCGGATGTGCCGCGTTGTCGCGATCGCGCCGGCCTCCATCGCACAGTTCGGCGCACACGCATGGTTGAAGTAGGACGTAATGCTCGCCGCGTGGAGCGCCTGCCCCACCGGAAGGCCGGAGGCGTCGCAGACCTCCAGCGCGTTGCAGCGCACGGCGCCGACGATGCGGGTGACAAACGTGGGGTCCTCTCCGCTAAACAAATCCTGCACGAGGCGCACGAGCGGCGTCAGCCCCTGCGACACCTCCACCGCGTGCCCCTCCAGTTGCAGCACCGCCGCGTGTCCCTCCTTCCGCGCCTTTATCCCACCCACGGTGGTGATGCAGTGCGTGGCGACGGCAAAGAGGTCGTCCGGCACCTCCGCCTCACGGCTCCGCATCGCCAGCAGCATCTCCTGCAGACGAACGAACAAGTGACATTCGTAAGCCTCGTGCTGCCGGCCATGGCCATTGGCACAGTCGTCGGAGCAGTACGACACGAGCTGGCACCGGCTGCACGTCTGCGGCCGCGCGGCGGGCTCCTCGCCGTCGTCAGGCAGGAGGACCACGCCACAGTGTGCGCACAGGCCTTTGCCCGCCGTCTCCTCGTACGAGCCCACGGAAAAGGGACGCAGCGTGGAGCTCACCGCCAGCAGGGGAGGCAGCTCGGAAGCCGCCACCACACACTTCCCACACTCCCCTTGTCGCACCTCAATGCAAGGCTCCTCGCTGGGCGGCGCGTCGCGCTCGCGTAGCAGTCGGTCGAGAGCCTCGTCGATGAATGGAGAGAGAGTCTCACACATGGACGGCAGCAGGTGCAGGGCACGGCAGAGGTACTGCAGCGGTTCCGCACGGCGCGGGAAGCCCAAGGCAGGTCGCAGCAGCAGGCATCTCCCAAGAAAGGCGTATGCCTTGGCGATTAACGGATTCACCGCTAGCACCTTCACTGCCAGCGTCGCACATGCGTCGTACTCGTGCAGCTTAAAGAGACACGTCAGGGCGTTGCCGGCGCACTTAGTGTACTCCTCAATTCCACCCGATTTATCGCTCAGTGGCTCGTACACGCCGAGCGCCTGCTGGTACAAGTCTGCCGCGGCACGTGGGTCGCTGGAGAAGAGGGCGTTCCCCCGCGCGCGAAGCTCCTCCATTTGCAACGGTGGCTGTGGTGGCGGACTACTGTACGCGCGTGCGGCGGAACGCAAAGGAAGTGAAGCAAAGAAGGGGAGAAAAAAACAACATGCAGGGTCTCGCAGCAGTAAGGAACAAAAATAGAAAATATATATATATATATACCTAAAATGCACGGCGTCAGAGGCGGCATTGAGAAAAAGCAGGGCCAGAGAGCATCCGGCACCAGTCTGTGCGCCCCTCTGCCGGCCTCGGAAGGAAAAAGATGCACACAAAGCACAGCTTGTCAGCTCGTCGCCCCGTCAGAGCGCTCGCCTTCCGCTGCCGCCGTGCCGTGCGGGGCAGGCGGCTCCCGCTCCCCCTCCCCCTCCTCCTCCTGCGGCCGCCGCCGTCGCCGCTGTTGGGGCTCTCGCAGCACCTGCGGGCGGTACTTCTGCACCACGTGCAGCACCGCCGGCCCCAGCGCGTCCTGCAGCGCGGAGGGAGAAGTAGAGCTTAGAAACGCGTCCACGGCGGCGATGTCCTGCGGTTGCGGCAGTCGTGCGTCAAGCGCCGGCTGGTGCGTCGGTATCACGAAGCGCGCGTCCGCCCCTTCGCCCACGACGACGGCTTTTGCCGAGGCGGTGGCGCGCGGCACGGGGCTGTGCGGGGGCCGCTCCTCCTCGTCCTCCGCAACGGCGGCTAGGACGCCCAGGTGCAGGACGTCGAACGCCACCCGCGGGTCGCTGTTGGCAAGCAGGTCAAAGTAGCTGCCCGCAGTGCTCGGGGGGGAGGCGGTCATGCCAGCAGCCGCTCCTCCCTGCACCGTCCGCGCCGCAGAGTGGAAGCTCCGCGGCATGCGGGCAGAAAACCAGCCATGGCGGCGGGCAGAAGACGTGAGAGAGAAGAAATAAGAAAAGAACAAAAAACAGCGGCGGCGGCAGCAGCTGTAGGGTCTCGTGTATCCCACGCGCGCCCTCCACAGAGAGGCGCGCCCAAGACGCAACGCAGCACATCAACGAGCGTCGTTGGAGCAGCGACGGCAATAAAAGATGAACTGCGACGGGGAGGAAAAAAAACATCTAGACGAAGTGGGGGGCAAATATAAATAAAACTAAAACGGAGTAGGCACACACATTACAAAAACAAAGCACCTCCCTCACTCAGGAAGAGAAAAAGAGGGGGAGAGGGAAAACAGTAGTATGGGTGCAACAACGACTCTCCACGTAAGCACGCAAGCAAGCAAGAAAACTTGCTGCCACACGCAAACGCACATATATGCCCTATTACA